ACAGCCCAAGAGGAAAGACAAAAAAAAAAAAAAATACAGACTTTAAGCGGTCTCCAATGAAACAACCCAGTCGGATCAGCCTACAGCTAACATACCCCATCTACACACTCAGAGCATCCATTCAGTCTTAGTGTTCACTCTCAGAGGAGGGTGCCAACCACAGACCACCAGACTTCTGAGGAAAGCCTTTAAAACATGGAAAAGCAGCCTTGGGGGGAGGGGGGGTTAGGGGCTGGAGAACACACTGTACAGGAAGAAGAAAATGTCAGAACTTATCCACTGATACTGCATACATGAGACAAGACCAGGGTGTTATTTAAAATAATAAAAGAAACAATTAGAGAGTAAATGAAAAGCACTTGGAAACTGATCCAGAAGAAATGAAAAACTTACTGAAGGTTTGGGACATAAAGTAGAGAAAATTTGCCAGAAAGTGGTATAAAAATATAAGGCGATGGAAAAAAAAAAAGAGAAAATAAATATAGAGAAGCAGTATCAGAGTTCCCATATCCAAATGAATGGGGCTTCTAGAAAAAAACTGAGCACAGGAAAGAAATCATCAGTGGAATAATTCAAGAGACATGTCCAGCTCTGAAGAACAAGAGTTTCCAGGATTCGAAGGGCCTACCAAGACTCCAGCACAATGAATGAAAACAGACCCACACAGAGGAACACCACAGGGATGTCAGAACTGTGGGAACAAAGTGAAGGTCTTCCAAGACTCCAGAGAAAAATGACAGTTTGCACACAAAGATCGGGAATCATAATGGCTTCATAAGTCTCCACAGCAACATAAAAGTAAGAATTCAATGATACAGTGTCTTCAAAATAAAGATAAATTATTTCTAACCTAGAATTCTATACCTAGCCAAGCTAACAATTAAATGTGAAGGTAGAATAGCAACCTTTTTAGACCTGCAAGGCGTCAAACATGTACTTCCCCCCTTTTTGGAAAGCTATCAGGAGACGGACTGCACCAAAACAAGGGCATAAATTTTAAGACGGAGACGAACAGACAGACAGACAGACAGACAGACAGAGATCATAGGATTCGGGAACCAGGGAACCCGCACAGAGAAAGACACAGGGAACGCCCAGCAGATCCCAGGATAACAGTCATGCTGAACGACCCGAGGATACACAGTCCTAACGGAACAGTTCAGAGAGTTTTAGAAGATATTCTTCAAGAAGATGACATTTATAGAACACTCAGCACATGGGATGTTGTACCTGAATGCATGGAGAAATTTTAACACAGACTTTGGGGTTAAACCAGTAATAAGGAGATAAAAAACTAAGTAATAAATCAAAAAGATATTGAACATCTCCAGAAAAAAAAAGATTTGCCCAAAAGGTAAAATAATAATAACATTTTTAATAATTCATTGTGAATAATGTTTACCTAGTCATAATAATGTAACTACTAAGTACTGATCCAAATTTTGATGTAACTATCAGGTTGGCCAAAAAGTCCACTTAGTTTTTTCTGTAAAATAAGAGACACATTTTTCATTTGCACCAATAACTTTATTACTTTGGATATTTTGAGTATGTCAGCTATCTCCTGCTATTGGCTTCTAGTGGGTAGAGGCCAGGGGTGCTGCTAAATATCTTCCAATACATAAGATAGCCCAACAGCAAAGAATTATATGGCCAAAATGTCAATAGTACCAGAAACTTCACAAACCACTTTTCACATGTTCAATCAGCCACAGCACCTTCTCCATACACTGCACTAATCCTTTTTTTTTGTTTCAATTGTTTTTACTTTTCTTCAAGTAATAAAGCATAATATGCCAAAAATGTTGCATATTTTCTTCCATCTTCAATATTATAATGGCTGTATAAAAATTCACCAATTGTGATGTTTTTTTTAAAATGCATGCTGATATGACAGCTGTCACATACAATCTAAAAAATTGTTTCAAATGAAGTTAAAGACAACTACACACTACTAGAGCCATCATACAGAAAAAACTAAATGAACTTTATGGCCATCCCAATATATTGAGAGAAAGAAGAACTGGGAGGTGAGAGTGTGTGTGTAAGTGTGAATGTGTGTGTGTTTGTGTTGGGGATGAGCAGTTGGGTAACAGACAGCTAAGTTCTCATCTTCTGCAATAAGAAGTCAATACACAATGCCTAAAACTCAAAAACTAAGAAGTCCCATTGATATTTAGGTATCTGGCGTTGATACTAAATAATAAAATGAAAGAGCTGAAAGTTCTTGGCTTGGGGGAGAAGGAGGTTGAAGTTTGTGTATGGTGGAGGAGAAAGGTGGGCTGTGTGGGAACTTAAGTTTGGGGGACTCACCCTGCAGAACAGTTGGCTTTCAGCCTCGGGCATGTATCATTCTGATAACAACCAGCAGGAAAGGAAGGATGAAAGAAGGAGAGAGCGAAGGAATGAGGAAGGGAAAAGGGGAGAAGAGGAAAAAATTACAGACATAGTAGAGATAGAAATGAGAGGTAGCCCAAGTGATCACATGCGGTTTTTATAGAAAATAAAAAACTAAAGTCTAAAACATTCTTTAAAAAACTGTAGGACTTAAGTGAATATGAAGTAGGTGTATGTGTCTCCTTGCTCTCAACTGTATATTCAACTGCCAAATGGCAGCATGGAAAAAGAAAGTACTCATGCTTTCCCCCCAGATCTCCTTCTTTCCACCATTTGTCAGTGATGAGACATTTATATGCCGCTGTTTTGCTCCCCATCCCTAACATTCTAAGCAGGCTCTCCATTCTCTACTATGTCAGGCCACCGTCAGCTTTCCAAACTGATCTGCCTGCATCCTGTCCATTCTCCATCATGGAGGCAGAGTGATCTTTCTAAACTCCAAAGCCAATCAGACCACTTTCTTGCTTAAAACTCCTCAATGGTGTGTATTGCTTTATAATAGGCTTTGAACTCCTTCACCTGGCAGTAAGACCTCATGATCTGACCTCTAACTACCTCTTGAGTTTCATTTCCTAACATCCCCAGGAATGGGTTCCCCCCCCCCCACCATCTCCAAGTTCTGGCCAGCCACACCGAGGTCTTCGCCGGTCTTGAAGCCCCGGCTGCTCTCACCTCTGAGCCTCTGCTTGCTGTGCCCTTTATTCTAAAAATTCTTAAACTAAAATGATATGCAAAATTATGTGTGAATGTGTCTATGTATGTATACAAGAAAGCATATGCATAAAAACTTGCAAATGATTTTGACAGTATTTATAAGTCCCCTGAACACCAATTTTAGACCCCACTTTAAGAACCCCTTCCTTAAGATATAAGCAAGTTTATAGCTGATATCAAAAAGTTCCAAAACATATTATTCAGTTTTTGCACACAAAGCATATATGAGTTGTTAATATAATAGTCAATATTAGTTATCAATATCAACTATCTTCTGTGTCACTGGACTTTTCTCCATTGCCCTTCTTCCCAAAGAAAGTTAGTTAAATCATTAACTAAGGTTGCTGTCCCTGAGAAGGGGTCACCCTAGTGAAAAGTGCCCCTTCACTGTTTGGACAACAGCCAGACCCTAGAATGTGAATACTTTTGCCTTATAAGAATGTCTGAGCATGTTGTTACAAAAAAAAAATTGGATGATATTAGATGAACAGCTGTGCAGAAAGGGGAATGTAAAAATAAAAACTGCATGTTGGAGCATCAAAATAGTAACCATGTACAGTACGTGACTGTTTTTAATCAGATGAAGATTGAAGCTATTACATTTCAAATCAAATGTTATAAATTAGTTCAAGAATGCAGCTGAGCTCTCATTTAATTAGAAATGTCCATGTTTAAATCATGAGGTACAGTAGCTGCCAATGAAGCAAAAGGGCAAGGGAAGGGAGAAGCACTGTGTCCAGACCCTGCGATCGTCAACTGTCTCCTCCGCAGGATGAACATCTGGGGTGGACTAGTCCTGATGTAATGAAGAACTTCATGTACTAGCTAATTTGAGATTTAATGTAATTGGACATAACTGTTTTGAAGACAATTAAAATCATTATTCTGGTCTGGACAATTCTGAACTCTTCATTTTGGTGTGAGACATATTTTTCCCCCATGTTGAATTTTAACTCTTTCTTGGATAAAAAGTGAAGCAAATGTTGGGCCAAGATGCTGCTGGGAAGCAATCCTTGGATTGTCAGGTCGTATTAAAATGCAGCACCACAGTGAGGTTCTCCTTTGGAAACAAGTCTCGTTTCCTATTCCTAGTGCTTGATGTAGCTCAGCCAGAGTCCAAATCTACATCCCAAATGTTAGACAATTCACCATTAAATAAAAATGAGGCACCATCATAGAGGGATTTCTGAGGTCATACAGAGAAGAATGCAATTATCCTAAGGCGGACTTTTCCCCAAAGGTTATAAGCCTCTGCATGTCGTAATTAACCGTGGTGCAGCGAGACAGTCCAGGCAAAAGGTCTTTCTTTTCTCCCAATTTGCCTAATTCAAAAACACCTCAAGTGACATAGCTCAAATTTTCCAAATTAAACTTACCCCTGGGGCTGAAATCAAGCATGTGACAGTTCAGTTCTAAAGAAAATCTTAAAGAGAGTCGTGCATAGGGAAAAAAGGGGGGGAAAAGTCAGAGGAAAAAGGGTTAGGAGTTAACATTTAAGTGGTTTTTCAACCTCATCATTACCCCTGCTCAAGAAAATAAGACACAGATGGGCAAAATACACCATCATTCTGCCCTGAAGAGTCGAAAGAACTCATTAGAAACGACTGTTGTTCCCTCCTGACCCATCCTGCATTTGTAAAGGACAAAGTGATTGATTGGCTGCATCCCACAGCAGTTAGGGCCCCATGGTGTCAGGAGGTGGAAGGTGGAAGAATGAGTCACAAAGACACGATGTGCCACTGCGACCCATGAAAACTTCTCATTGATACAAATGTTCAAGGTCGACTTTTCCCAGGGAGTTGAGGAGTGATGGCTTTGTCACGAGCTGTTCTGGTCTGTAAAAATGGTTTCCATTAGGAGAGAACACACCACCCCCAACTTTCTCTTACTTCTGGCCACAGCTCCACACTCTTCCACTCCAACACCAGCGAGAGGATAAATGGGAATCAGGTCCACTGCTCCCAAACAAGGGTGGATTCCCTCCTGAACCTCCATATCGATAGACTGGAAGGCCTCCAAGCAGGCAGCCAGAACAGAATTGCCTCAAAAGGTAACAGTGTAAAAAAATAATCATTAAACTTTCAAACACAGCTCAAGAAGCGGCTATATTTTACTGTCCCACTGGTTGTTTTTCTTTTGTAATCTGTAATATTTTTTCAGGCATAATAAAGAACAATAAAAGATCTAACATTTCCCCTTGTCCCACCTCCCTACTGTCCTAAAGTTTCACATTTTTTTCCAGCTCTTTATTCCCCAAAGTGGAGGAATTATACAATGTTTATTAGTTTTAAACACCTTTGTATTTTTTTTACAATTGCTTACTCTAAACCTCTTCAATTCTATCAAGTTAGCTAGATACAATTCCTTGTTATTTTCAGAATGTTATGAATTTATATTAAAATATATACACAACCATAAAGTTTTAAAAGCATGAGTATTTCAGTTTTGCTCTTGTCCAGTAGATTTTTTGTTAAATTGTTTTATCTAAATACATATTATAGACACCTCAGAGTTTCACGTTACGACTCTGAGATTTTATTAGCAGCATAGTATGGCCACTTTAATGACAGGTAAACAGCAGAGAAGCAAATTTCACATCTCACAATTAACATTCAAGACACTGTGCCTTCTGTTTGTTGGGAGTTATCAGCAACTCTTTGTTCTTCAAACAAACACATCCTTCAGAAAAAAGACAATCTGCTGGGTTAAAATAAAGTTTATTTTTAAATATTTTAAACCATTTACTAAGAAATATTAATACGAGTTTTTGTTTAAACAACTCTGATCCTTCAAATTCAGGTTGTTCCACTAAAACCTGACAACATGATACACGGAGCCCATTTCATTTCAACCCATGAAGCAACTCAAGACTTTGGGCTCCCAACACAAAACACAACTGCTTAGCGTGTTGGTCCTGTGCCACCTCATCGCTGGAGTCAAGGCTGGCTTCAACGCCACTGCTCCAGGGGTGCAAACCTGAAGATCATTCTGGGAAAGAAAGATATTAACTCCTGGGCCCCAAGATTCATTTTAATGAAGAGGAAATGGGAAATGTTCAGATGTGTATGTTCAGAAAAATGATAAATATAGTTTTCAGATAGACTCTCCATATAATGGATTATTCAGATTTGAAGAGTAAATCAATGATGAAAGAGCATTCAGGTCTATCTGAAACCTCCCCTTTTCATAGACATTTATGTAGAGAAAGAAACTGAAATCTCACCTAATTCATCAATAGAAGCTGCTATTGTAATGACTGATCTGTTGTAGTCTTGATCAGAAAATATATTGAGCACTGATACTTCAGGATGTTTCCTCCCTATAAAAAACATATATATATAATATGTTTTATTACATATATAATTTATATATAAATTATATATAGTCTCATATAGTATTAAAACATATAATGTATTTTATATACTATTGAATTATATATAATATGTAATATTATTGCATATTGATATATTTTATATGTTGTATACACTACATGTATTAAATTCAATATAAAACTCCTGGAGTGTGACCTCTGAAGTGGCATTGGCTAATCATAAAATTCATGGGTAGCAATGTCTGCTTCTTGCAGTGTCTTTCTATATAACTAGATGGCTCATCTCAGCCTTTGGTATCTCTTAACTCAGTCTAAGATGGTATCCTCTTCTTTCAATTGCCACATCATATCACTCTAAATTCTGTTCCTTATCAATCTCATCTTCTAGACCTTATCAAGTTTTCCTTCCTAAACCCAGAAATCAAACCGCATGAAAATCTGACATCTGGAAAAGCTAGGATAGGCCAATTAGTGCCTAAAGCAGAGGTTTCTGGGATGCATGCACCTGTCTATTAGAAACTGTTCTGACGCCACCACCTCCTTTTCAAGGGCCACCAACAGCCTTCAGATGTTAATGACTTCCAGCTTTCAGTGGCTTGTGACTCACTTGAATGTGTAACCTCAAGGAGCAAGCTGCCATGCCCTATGTGGCAGCCACACAGAACCCCGAAGTTATTTTTGAAGTTTACAAGCCTGGTTCAGCCCCTTTAAAAGTCCCCCTTAAGCCTGCAAAAGCTAATTCAAAGTGAAGGACAAAAGTTTTCAAGCGGTCATTAAACCTTTCTTCTATGCCATTATACCTTTGTCGCCCTGTCCCCTGGCAGCTTAACAATTAATCTTTTCAGAAGAGAGGAAAAATAAGTTACATTCAGGAACTACGGAGCTTACGGCAGCCCTATGTTATTAACTTTAATAATATGAAAGGATAAACTATGTCACTTGCTCATAGCCAAACGAGCATCTATACAGACCTGCCCTGGTGTAGGTCTAGAATTTATAACTCGGGTTTCTTTACCTAAGACTTTTTAGACCATTTAAATGTTTTCACATTACTTAATTAGAAAAATTATAGGTAATGCGGTTTTATTCCACTTACTTAAAAATAAATGCCTTTAAGTATTTGTAAAACAATAGGTCATTTTCCTAACTAGTGCTACCTTCCCTGCATTTTCATAACTATAAAAAATAAAGCAAGAACGAGATCATACAACCTCCTTTTAAATGTATTTTTCAACATACTCTAGCTCCTAGAAGAGATGATTTTATTTTTTTCATCCTAAATTTCTTCTGAAAAGCTTTTATTCTCAGTTTCATATGACCCAATTGAATCAAATGCTGAAAGAATGAAACACTTTCTCCTGCAATTTCTAAAGCACGCACATAGAAAAAAATTACTGCTGGCAGGAAGAGCTGTCAGTCTGAATCTCAGCAGAAGTAAATTGTTTGGTATTTGTAATGGAGTATAATAGCTATAATTCCATTTGAGCTGCTGCCACTAATAAGCTGATAAAAACTGTGAGTTGAGACCCAGGCATCCATCAGTGTGTGGCTTCCCCAAATGTCTCTGCACATTCATTCAATCACAGAGACAGGTAACCCAATCCCATTACATGTACTGTGTCTGACAATGAGGGCCCAAATGGGCTCTTCCCACAAAGACAATGCAAAAGCACAGCTGTATACTGACTCCAGAGGGTTTTTCTTATCAGCATTATCAGGAATTTTCATAGACATTTCTAGCTCCTGCAAAGCTGCAAGACAGTAATTTAAATGTGCTCAATCATTAGCTAAAGGAAACACTTCTTTCTCATGAAAAGCAATAACTAAATCAAAAATGACAATCAGAAATTAAAATCTACTGTCCAAAGTGCTTTGGGACTATGGTCCCAATGCTCACCTATTGCCAAAAAAAAAAAACTTCATTTAATATCAAGGCTTTCTATTTAAACAATATGAAGTCTGTAAATACACTGTGTTTTGTGTATGTGAGTAAAAACAAATGATGTCTAGAACTGTCTCATTATATGAACATTTCAACAAGGGTGAAAAAAAGGAAAGTACTCTCTCTCATGGTAAATACTGGCCCAGGGAGTAAGGAGGCTTGAGTTCCAGTCTTCTGAATTGCTAAGTGATCTAACCCAAATCACTTAAATGCAATTGCCTAAAAGTCTTTTCACAGAGAAAATGTAGTAGAAATAATAATGCTGTAATGATAGCTAGCATGGGCTTTGCTGGCAGGAGTTCTTTGAGAAGTAGTTGGTGAATGGCAAGTTTATTTTTTATGTAACCTGCTGAATAAAAAGCATAATGCCCAGTTCTGCTCATTCTATTAATGACCAAATAAACAGCCTATGAGGGGAATCTTTAACCTTTATGTAACTATGCCCTCCTCAGGAGCCTGTCAATATCCTGAACAGTGGCTATTTCAGACAATCACTTTCCAATGTCAAGAACAGTGTTGCTGAGCGCACATAGGCATTTGGAAAAGACCATACGAGCACATCTGCCTGACTGCTCTACCTCAGTATCCCGGAGTCCTGCAGAAGCTGTAACAGCCGGAGAACAAGGGGTAAACTATGAAGACAGGGAAGTGTTCTATGGATACTGTCTGCAGAGTATAAAAATTACTATAGTACCAAAACACTATATAGCTGTTGCTCCTACCATTTTTTCCAAGAAGAGCTGCTTTTGCTATGTTCTCAACAATGTGTTTTCTTCTGGCTTCTGAAATGTTTAGTAAACAGGCAGCCAAACGGAGACCCAATCTGGAGGAAGACATGCTGATTTTTTCTAGAATAGGAGAAAAAGGAATCTTCATTTTGGTCTCTACAATTCATTCATATGTTCCTGTCTATTCACCATTAAAAATCATAGCTCTTTGGAAACCAGTTAGTCATAATACTAACATGTCACTCTTCATTCCTAGGGAACACCTAAATGATAAAATCCTCAGATTGACTCATCAAGAAACTGTGTATATGTGCCATGTACATATGAACTTCTTAATGACACTAGAAAATATCTTTCAAGTTACTCAGACTGAAATCTGTGCTATAAGTGAAACTTTTTCATTAAAATGTTATTCCCTCTGAAGCATAGTCTTTCTTAGTTGATCTCTGTTTTCCAGGTCTTTTCTATGTAACAAATAAGCATGATCTTTCTGTTAAATGAGACTTACTGGGAAAATGGAAAAAAAAAAAGGGAGAATGAGGGAGATTATTTAACATGCTCATTCTTACAGAAACATTTTTTCCTCCAGCAAAAAGAAATAAAGGGACTCATTTGAGGGTCTTAAATGGTAACTATTTGACTAAGTTCCTCTTCTTGCACTTTGATCTCCAAAGTTTCTAAATCAGTTTCAAATCTTTTCACAGGACTCCGTACCTTGAACTGAAAGCTGACATGGACTCTAATATGTTACTCAATAATGCCAAAAATGTGACTGATTCTTTCATTGAAAATCAATTAATTGCACACATTTTGGAGGTTGCTTTGATTCTCTGTAGTATTCTAGAAAGGCATTTTTCAACTATTTTTCCTTACCTCAAATGATATGAATTGAACAAATCGAATTCAAAATACTGAAAGAATTCCCATCTTCAAGATCAGGCCATCATATTTTGGCCTTTTCAATATCACACCTAAAAAATGAAATGTAGCCCTCATGAATTCGTTCAACAAATACTTGACAAAGATCATTTTGTGTCAGGTAATGTCCTCCACGTGGGGGATCTTTCAGTGAACGGCGTCCAGCTCAGACCAACATTAAGCTTTTGAGCTTAAGGAAATGTGCTGGGTACGAATAACTGCACTCGATGCATAAACGCACTAGCTTCCATTCACTAGGATCACTGGCCTAATCATATTAATCTGGGAGTACGGGGCTCACGGTTAGTTCGGGTTTTCATATTGTGACCATCATCGCGTTGAAAATTCATAAAAAATACAGTCATTAGGTTTTCCTAAACATTAATAACATTGTTGTAATAAAGCAGCTCAGACCTCGGGTTTTTATGTAAACAAAAAATTGCTTTACACAAGGGGTGTAGGCGTCTTCTGGCTTTCATTTGTTTTCGGTGTGTTTATGTAGCTTAATTGTCTCATCAGGCACTTTCCCAACATAATTACGCTTTTTAACAAATGGTGTTTATGGCAACCCCTAACAATGCAAAAGAAAGGATTAGTTTCATCTTCTCGTTCCACATTTTGATTCCCTGTGGACAGCTAAATCATACAAAGATGGTGTTAGGAAAATCTACCTTCACAGCAAACAATCAGCGGCAGCACCAGGTTTTTGGAGAGCATTAACGCTTTAGTCAAAAAGGTAAGAGTTTCTCTCCCTCTTACAAAATGACCTAGAGCAAGACCTTCGAACACTTTTGAGAGTGTGGGATCCTAGACCGCCCACCCCTTCAAGCATCCATCGGTGACTTCCGGCGACACACCAAAAACCTGCCTTGCCCCGGAGGTACCAGCTGGGCCAGAGCGGAGTGGAGCAGTTTGCGATGGTTCTGCCAAATCACCAGCCTCCTGCGCACGAACCACAATTAACACTTTTAGGGTCCAGCAGAGATTCGCTGAGCAGTCGGAAGCGCGTGCTAGGGCTGGAACCAGTGGCTGGGACTACTCGGCGCCGCCCCGCCCCGGTGTGGAGAGTCCCAGGGCCGTGTGGGCCGAAGGCTTATCCGAGGGACTTGGCAAAGGCGCCAGAGGATTCCGCAGCCGCCCCCACGGGGTCCGCCAGGAGCACATCTACGAGAGGTGAAGCCTGGGACCGACTCGAACCTGTGGCCGCTCCACGGTTTAGGAGAACTAACCTGTGCGCTCGGAGGGGCGGCAGGATTGGAGGGTATAGCGCCGCAGTCGCTGCGCCGGACCTGCGCCTGCGCGTAGTTTTAAACCGACAGCCCCGCCTCCCGGGTGCCCCAGGCACGCTCCGCGCAGCGTTCTCTCCCCTGACCCTGACCCTGACCCTGAGTCTGGCACCGGCCAGTACCCTGCGTGCTCGCTTTCCCCGAAACTTTTACGTTCTTTGTAGAGTTGACTCTTCCCTTCTGCTTTTATCTTGGAACTCTTCACAGTTTTCTCCGTGAAAGTAAATCAATGACTTTCTAAAAGGGCATTAGGATCCAAGGATGAGGTCGTTACCAACGTTGATCATACACCAGCAGGGGGCTCTTCTCTCTGGTTTACAGGCGCACGTACACGCACCTCTTTGGTAAACTCCCTCCTGAGAAATACTCGCGCGGTGCTTGTGAATACGAGCTGGACCCACCCCACAACAAAAGCAGTACTTGCACATGACCATTTAGTCAGTGACAACCAACATGAACCAAGCATTAAGCATTTCCCTTTTTTTCTAGGCCAGTGAACTTCAAGAACACATTTCTCTTCCAAAAAATCAAGACCTGCTTTTTTTATGTAGCAATGATTAAATGTCACCATTTTGATCCAATTTCGTTCCTAAACTGAAATAATCACTAAATAACTACTTTGACAGAATAAATTAATTTTTAAATCTATTTTTTATTTTCTAATTATACTTTTTAAACACAGACTTGAGGAAATTAACATTTATGTGGACATTTGGTTTCTAGCCTAATGTGGCATAAAAATAAGTAACATAATGAGTGTTAAAAAAAATCAAGTTCATGATGCTTCTCACATCATCATCATTGTACTTAGATGTCACAACAGTATTATACGCGATTGTGTCAGATCCAGCCTTCCCCATCTCAGAGTGTTGGCAGGTAGGAGGGTTGTTGGCAAGAGGAGGGGTGTTAACCTCAGGATCCTGGATCCATTCCAAGGCTGGTAATTACATTCTGCCAGCCAAAATTCATCCCATAATTTTAATTGGATAAATCCTTTCTGGCCTAAGCTACTGCTCTGCCTGTCAAACTGTTGCCACATTTCACCCCAGAGGTGTCTGTGTTTTAGTTGCAAGAATCAGTCCCTTTGAGGTTGGCTTATCAGTTTAAATCCTCAAGTGCTTTGGGATCCTATGGAATTAAATATATATTTAAGTATTTTTTTTCTACTGAATCTGCATAGAAATGTATAAAATAGATTTATAGTCATGTTAATACCTAAAAACCAATACCCATCTAATGTCAGCAGATACTCTTGAGGGCTTTTTAATCAGATCGATGTTCTAATTTTCTCTTCTTTCCTTTTGAGAGCTTTTATCACCTATTGCTTTGGCTTTCAATTTCCAAACAGTACTTCAGTGTCCAAAGTTGACTTCCATGAAGGATGATGGAACTGAAGCCTCTGTATTCCATCATTGCAAACAATCCTGTGATGGGGCTACTTGCTGAAATGAAAGAGTAGTAGCATTACGTCCGGTATTATGGTATCCCTGCAGGAAAACCTGTGACAACTCGGGGCTTTGTGGTTCTGGCTGTAGCCAATGCCAGAACTAAGGCTTTTCCCCTGCTTCTCCCTTACAGGGCTCACTGGACATCAAGTAAAATAACATTTCTGAAAGCATAAACACCAGGAGTTAGTAAACCTTAGTCCCTTTCTCCACTCCACTCTTATCAAACACACATGGTGAGAAAGCAGGGCCCAGACGTTCTTCATGAAGGGGCAGCGCCTGGCCCTGCCTATGGACTGGCGGCATGTCTTTTGGGAAAAGGCAAGAAGACACATATCGACAACTCTGGTGAGAAGTTTAACAATAAGATGGAAAGTGATTATCCTGTTCCCCTCAAGAGTAGAAAGGTACCCTTGGTGTTAGTTGAGCTCTACCACATGTAACCCTGCCCATGTTGTGACTTAGAAGAGCTGTAGGTCATGGTGACAATGTATGCACATCAGCCTCTCACTTTTATTTTACTTAGCATGCTCTGGAGGGATTTCTCAGGCTTTTTGGGTGAATGTGCTACGATGACTCCTTGTTTCCCCCTCCAAGCCCATGTTCAGGGCATCGATTCCTTTGCTCATTATGGTTCCTGTCCAGAAACAGAAGCACTGGAAGAGAGCGCAGCTAAAAGTCCAGTGTCAGTTCTTCCAATGACAACTGTTTCCTGACACTCCCATCGGTGTCCCAGGAGACAAAGAGGACACATTTCTGTACCCTTTATTTTATTTTTTTCAAGCAGAGAGAACACTGCTCTTGTAGGGACCTGCTCTGGCCTGCCGGAGCTGAGGTGGTAGCAGGGAAAGGTTGTGCTCTAGTGTGGCTCCAAGGCTCTGCTGGAACCCAGAGCCCCGGTGCAGCTCAAGCAGAGCTGCGACTAGGGTGAGTAAGTGAGAGATTCACCTTGGGAGCAAAATTTAAGTGGGTGACAAAATACTCAATAAATTCAGTACCTTAAAATTTCAAAGTTAATGCACAATTAGAAATCCATAGTGAACACAAAAGCAAAACTGTAAATAAAGACAGGCCCCTACCCTGCACTTGCCAACTTAGTCTCCCTCCTCTCACTCTGACCCTGCCTGGTGGTTGTGGCCCCTTCGTGCCAGCCGGCTTCTGATCGCAGGGCTGAGAGGAGACCGCACCACAAGGCTCTGCCTGCATCCTCTCTGCGCCCCCAAATGGTCAACAGAACCTGAAATGTCAAGGGCAGAAGCTTCCAGGCCAGTGGATATGTATAATTTACAGTGTGTTCAAGAGTTTCCATTTAAATGCAATTTGGCCAAGTTATCTTACAAGAAGGCAAATCTTTATTAAAACAAGCAAATAATTAACTCTATTAACCTAATACATTTCATCACCCATTAATCTGATACTTTTCAGAATGTGGTAACTAGAAAGTTTCCTATTGTGCTATGGAATTTTGAAATACTACTTAAAGAACATTTTAATTAATGCTATGGATATTTGCTATTTGCTATTTTCCTGTTCTAGCATCTACTTGTGTTCTGGAAAACATGGCTAGAGAATTTCCCCCCAAAAGACAGAAGTCTAATTCCTAATGCAGTTTTTGTCATTGAAGATTCCACTTTCACCATATTCTTGGACTATGTCAGATTTAATTCTATTTCTTCCCTCCTTATGGAACATGAAAATATTTTATTTCTTTCATGTAAATGTAGTCTGATACATGAAAGATGTTTAAAAGTGAATTTGTTTGTCATTTCAGCATGAGTTCAGTGCAGAAGTGGTTTTAATTATTTGTATTAAGTTATTTGAATCACGTGACATTATGAAATATGTGTTTTGTTTAGTCATTTTCTACAATAGCAAATGAGTTTCACTGCCGCCATTTTAGTTTGGAGTTGGGAAATGGTATTCATTTATTTTAAATGAGGAAAAGGAGCTTGATGTCCAGAAAAAAGTTATAGTGACTAACAGAAATACCTCCGTTGCCCATTCATCTCTGCCTTAATTATGGGAAATGATCTCTAAGCAATTATTGTCTTAATGAAAAAGGAAAAACACCCACAAAAATTTTAAGAATTAACCTTTTTCATACCTTAAAATTTGGGAAATATCTTTCCCTTGACACAACATAATCTGGATTCTTCCTCTGTAGCCAGCTGATCTCTTTATCATGAAACGCCAGTCGTTTAGAATGTAAGCATAGTTATTAGCTTAAATTGAGATCACTTGTTATGCATTCTATTCATTCACCCTTGAAATACCTCATGTAACTAGCCAAAAGTTAAAAGTCTATGATGTGCCCACCCCTTAATTCATTCCTCGCCTTTTTATGTCTTCCATGTGGCCGTACAGTGTGCATTCCCTTCCTACTGGGCCTCAGCGCCGAATGGAATGAAGTGTCTCGTAGAGCTTCTCTCCAAAGCTGGTTTTTGAATAGCTATTAATTGTACTGCAGATGAAAAGGAATTCCTAAAACTGACTTTGACTCTTTGCTGAAAATTTGTTTTAACTTACAGGACTACATTAAGTTCATTTCTAAAACTATCGTAATTCACAAAATGTATCTTACCATATCCAGAAAAAAATGTTGGGAATGGAATGTTTTAGAAACATTTCCCCTAAGTAACATGAACTTCATGAGATCCTTATTAACAAATAGTTACTTGAAAATGTTAACAAGTGGGGAGTAAGTACCAAATTGCATTCAGGACAAGGACACAGATTGTGACAGGGCAGTGATACCCGGTCACACTCAGGGCACTTGTAGGCACTTCTGTATTGCTGATACTTAATGTCCCATGTATATGCAAGTGAATGGCAACTCTCACTGACACCAAGAGGGTAACTCTCGTATGAACAGGCATCAGAGACCCTGAACAGACGCGTTCCTGCGGCTCCTGCATGTCCTAATTCACTTGTGTGTTCAGAGCTGTCCCTGCTTTGAAAAGGAGCCCTTCTAAGGAGAACCTCTTCCCTGCTTTCGGGCACGTCTCCAAGGCGTCCCTGCAGGACATTCAAACTGTAGGCTGGGTGAAGCTTTTCCTGCTGATTTGTTTGTCTTTTACTCTATATCTCAGTGTTGGGACTTTTTCAACGTAGTTTAGTTGCATTTAAATAGAAAATGTCTACTTTCTTATGAAGGGATGTGAAAAGATTAGTTTTTTGGTACTGTTGTTTTTAATGTTTTCTTTACCCTACCTTGTGCCTCTCAGGTATTATGCGAACTTTTTTTTAGCTTGAAGTTCTATGTTTTGGGAAAGAATGTGAAAGTAAAAATTTATAGAAGCTCAGGTCAGAAGGGACCTTAGAGATCATCGGGCACCTGACTGGAACCTTTGCTCAAACCGTGTCTGATCTGGGGTGGATGAGCAACAGAGGGGGAAGCAGAGTTTGTGATAAACGCTGGCGGTGGGGCAGGGGTGGCTGTGTCCTGCGTCCTACACTGTACCCCTGCTACTGCT